AAGGAACCTTTAGCATCACGAATGGCAAAATCTCCGACTATCTTTAGTCTAAAGATAGATTAAAGTGGAAATAGTACCCGTAGTAGTCCCTCAAGGGCACCTGCTAAATGAGCACCTGCTGGGGACCCAAAAGGGGAGGAAGTCACACTTTAGAATTTTACAGAACACCTTTTTGGAACTATCATTAATTCCGGCCATGGAGATTGGGATATCCTAGGGCACTGACTCAGTAGAGTCAATCTTGGGCTACAGGGAATGTCACCAGGCTGCCTCAGGAGAGTGGGGATAGATTAGTATGGTCACATCTGTAGCAAAACTGTTTTAGCTAAAGTTCACTCTGTGTGGAGCCTGGAAAAGAGAAAGCAGCCAGAAGAAGAAAGAATGGGCTGCCCATTTTCAGCCACATTAAAGGAATTATTATTCTGACCACAGACCTTGAGGGTCCAGGACCCCTGGCCATATTTGCCCAGGGGTAGAGGTGGTTCTGTGGCTTGATGGTGTTGCTAAGATCCCACACTTACCAAACAGTTTCCTGCTTATAAGGTCGCTGACCGTGTAGAGTCTCCTTTAAGAAGAACGTATGTTAACGAGTGGGTATTGGGGTTTTTCAAGCTTAGCAAAGTGTTCAGTTTTCAATAAATGTTATAGGATCTGAATGCAAGTTTCCTGGATTCAGCAATTATTAACAGTGACTTGCTCAGAAAAATGTGTAGTGATTAAGATTGTTTATACTGAACTAAAAATCTTCCACCGTTACTTTTGCACATGATTTTTTTTTCCCCACTCAAAAACCTTCATGAGTTTGAGAATAGTCAAATAAGAGATCAAGTCAGATTTGATAGAAGGCAGGAGAAAGACCTTTATGACTTTGTGGCCCTGTCCTAAGCGCAGAGTAGGCCACGGTAAATGTTTCTTGAATGAATTAATTACTTAAGTATCTACTAAAATCATTTCAAATAATACTGCAAGTTAACAACTGTATCATATACTGGACGTTGTGTTGATTTTCTTCCCTTTTTGTTCTATTTTTTTCCTTTTCTTTTTATATTTGGCGTTGGAGAGTTTCACCATTTCTCTGTTCTAAACATGGGAAGATTTAAAACCACTACAGTTTTAAAGTAAAAAGTAAGTGGGGATATGTCAGCGCTCAAAGAGAAAATATTTCTTCAAGAAATAGATACTAAGACTTTTATTTATTTTTGCACATTCCTGTTAGAGGCTGTTAGGGTCTAACACGATGCCTGGAGGCCAGCAAAGAGGAAGCCAGGTCCAGCTACTGGCAGAGTCAGAGGCCGGTCCTGGCAGTGCTCCAAAACAAAGCCACAGGAAGTCAGATCAACCCAGACAGGCCCAAGAAGGCTGACAAGGCAGGCTGGAACTCCCTGACCAAACAAGGAAGACAAGGCCCGAAACCCCTCTCTCAGAAGTCCCTGCCCCAAGTAATGAATATTCTACCCTCCTAGTTAACAATATTCAATAAAAGATAGAAACCCAAGCCTTGGGGTGTGTATCTCTCTCTGCCTCTCTGTCTCTCTGTCTCTGTCTCTCTCCCTTGCCTGCTCTCACATCTCGAGAGTGTAATTTTGCCTTAATAAACTTTCCTGCTTGTGTTGCTCATCGCTTGTGTTGTGTCTGTCCTTGAATTCTTTCTTGTGATAAGACCAAGTGCCTTCCGCAACATCTTTGGGACTCGCTGGGTCTGGGCCTCAGGGCCCGGGGTCTCCCCAGTTCACCTAGCAACATTCCTTAGTACAGTTACCCACTACAAGTTAGTCCCATTTAGTTCATCTTACTTTGTTGTTCACATAATGACCCTGTTGTTCATATAATGCCATGGCACTAACAAAATTCATCTCAGGCATTTCTGGCTTTTGCTACTGGAATTTGATTAGTCAGTCTATTGTAACAGTGGCCACCATGACTTAAAGATGCAAGTTTATTACTTGAAATATAAACAACACAGTCAAAGAGAGAGAAAAATGTAGCCAAAATGGATTACCAGGAGATGCAGAGAATTAATGAAGAAAGCACTGATCATCTGTGGTTCCATCATCACATCTTTCTCTCACTGATCCTCCTGCCTCTCTCTTGTAAGGACCTTTGTGATTATATTGGGCCTACTTCGATAATCCAGGCTAATCTATCCATCTCAGGATCCCAATTTAATCCCATCTACAATCTTTCCCAAGTAAGGTAACATACTAATGAATTTTAGGGATTAGGACATGGATTTATTTGGGGGCCATTAATCCACTTACCACACTGACCAATGGACTTGAATATCCAACCCCTTAACAGCCATTCATTTCTTACTATACATACAAACACTGACATTTGGGTTAGGAAGTTCTGTCCAAGTTCTTCTGTGAGGTGGTTCCAAGAGTAAACTCACTTTTGAGCACACTAACAAAGTTGTAGTCCATGTCGAGCCCTGTGAATTTGCTTGTTTAGCTCTGATGTCTGTTGAATCATTTATGACCATCTCTGGTGTTTGTAATTTTAGGGGACACTCTGGTTTTTTGATAAACTCTTAGAAAGAGTTAGGTAAAGACATTACAGGAAACATACTTCTTATTGGGAAAAAAGAGAATCATTAAAGGTCAGACAATCTTATTCTTTAACCAACTGAGCCACCCAGGCGCCCCAGACAATCTTATTCTTTACTTTTGCTTTAGTTTTTCAGGATGAGTCTTAAGAAACATGTCCTCCTAAATATGTGGGTGAGATTGTAATGTACTTCCTTATCAAAATATAACTCATTATATTCTTAGAAAATGTTAAAGCATGGAAAACTATATAGCTTTATTTTGGGGGTCTCCTAGCACCCAAGTAGGGAAAAATAGCATGAGTCAAACAATAGAAATTTATTTATCTGGGGGAAACCTTGGAGAAATAGAAGACAAAATGGATAACCCGAATCACATAACCATTCGAGTTCAGTGATTAGCTCTGTTCTTTATCTGACTTTTTAGGAGTAAAATTTTAACAACAATTTTTAAGTTCATGACAAAATTTTATTTAAAAAATACTCAAATCTTCTACAGGATACTTCATTTTATGAGTATGAGTAATAATTAACTAAAGCCTTCATCTTAAAATGACTTCAAGAACCATCAAATTCTAGAGATAGAAGTGTCCCTAGAGACTACCCATTTAAACCTCCTTATTTTATGAATTGGGAAAATGAGCCCCAGAGAACTCAACCTGCCCAAGGTCACCTGGAGCAGTAGTGGTGCCCAGGTTCAAGATCCAAGTCTCCAGGCTCCCAGTGCAAGCTTTCCTCACTCTGGCATTCCCCTTCCTGATTCTCCTTCTCCCCCTACCTAACCGCCCCCGTCTTTTTTCTTGTGTACTTGGAGCTATAACTAGGTCCAGCAAAAAAACCTCAGATTGTACTGATATCATTCTTTCTGGCGATAGAGAAAGGTATCATAGTGAAAGGAAAAGGAAATTGAAGCTTTATTTTTATAGGTTTCAATCTTTTCATGTGAAGTCCTCCTCACCAGAGAAAACTGAGAATTGGTTATGAAAGGAAAGAGCTACTAAGAAAAAAAGTATGTAGAATAATCTAAGAAGTCCCTCCCTTTCTCTTCTTGTTTTGTGCTGAACTTCTCAGTCTCTGGAACTCAGTCCAGCAAACTTTCCCTACCTCTCAGTAAGAGTTAGATGCTCTAGCCATAATCCTAATCATAACCCCGATATTAAAAATAATCTAATCTGTCATTTGAGCTCCAAAAACCACATAACACCATATTATCATTCTTTCCTTTCAGACAGTTCCTATTTTTTACTGACTCTTCATATTTATCAAATAGACTTTGAGGTATTAGATTTTTCTGGAGTCTCAAACAATTAAAGTTACTCAGATTTTCCTTCTCTTCTATTGGGAAGACAACAGATAACTTATATGTAAGACTATAAATAACATTTCTCTTTCCAGAAAAATTGGATAATCAATATTGATATTCTTAGTAGACACTTCCTAATAACTCTTTGGCTTAGCAGAGAAGATAATACAAATTCTAAATTTCCATACAATGAAAAATCATACACATATTTGAAGAAAACAATAATTCTCTTAATTCTAATGGGGAAATTTTTGAAAAGTATACAATGAAGGAAGCCTAGACCTCAGGGTCTGTACTTATCTTAGCCCTTGATATGTGTGAAAATAGGTTTTGGAATGGAACTTAGTCCATGATGATTTCTTTTTTCTTTTTAATGGAACAAAACTGGTCTATTGTACAACTCTGAGATTTTGTCCACAGGGTGCAACATCAACAAATAAACCCACTTTTAATTTCACTCATATCTTCTTTTGTTCTATGGTTGTTAGAAAAACATCATGTCACCCAGAACGTGGAGCCCATCTGTCATACCAGCTAGAGTGTGTGCACTCTCCAGCCCCGACTCTGTATTTATCCCTTGGCACCGCTCTCGGTTTCATGGAAGCTCTGGGCCTAGTCATAAAGCAGTCACCCTAATTTTGGGTCTGTGGTAGCAGCCAGTCTAATCCTGCCTAGATCTGAACACGGCAACTCACAGCCACTCAAATCCTGATGGAGGCATGTTTGAGAGATGAAGCAGTCTGAGACTAGTAATAAACTAGTCTGATCTTGCCCCTGGCTTGACCCACATTTTCTCTTTTTGAAAGTGCGTCTTGTAGAAAGGGCAGTAGAGACCGAGGAAAATCATACTGAGCTTGATACTTAACTTTGGTCCTCTTCTTGGCTTCTTTTTAAGTCTTAGGTCACTTCTTTAGGCAATTTTTTTTTTTAAGTAAAGTCATACACAAATATTTTATCTCCCTGAATTGCTATTTTGTTTTTGGTGTTGGTGATATTTATGTATTTGACAAGCCATGCACAGCTTTGGAGAAAGGGAAACACCAGTTATTCCTTTAATGGATACTTAAAGGGAGATTTGTCTCTCAACTGTTGAGGGACAGTGTAAGAAGAAGACAGTTATTGCCAAGAGTTGAAAGCAGGAAATGGACTTACCATCACCACGATCAGCCAGGATAACCACCCTGGTGGTGGGGAACTGGGCTCCCAGTCGCCCTCCCACTGGCAGGCTCAGGGAAACACTAAAGGATTCCTCCTCTTCATAGAGGGAGTCATCGATGATCAAGACCCGGCAGCTCTTCTCAGCCTCATCCTTGTCAAAGTGGAGGATGCTGGTGTGGTCTTCTGGACGTGAGATGTAGTCAGAGAAAGATAATGCTGTTGAAGGAATGGAGCCTGTGGCAAAACCTATAGGAATATGAGATGGAACAGAGAAGGTGAGAAGAAACCTATGCTCCCACCACTGGTTCTTCAAACTGTTTTGAGGCAATAGCATTGAGCACAAGGCTGTATGAATTATAAATCACACTTATCTCTGACAGTCACAGATATTAATATTGTAATTAGAAGGCTTTCAGAACAGACCCTGTTTTTTTTTTTTTAAGGTTTTTTTTTTATTTTGACAGAGAGAAAGAGTACAAGGAGGGGGAGCGGCAAGCAGAGGGAGAGGGAGAAGCAGACTCCCCGCTGAGCAGGGAGCCCGATGCGGGGCTCGATCCCAGGACCCTGGGATCATGACCTGAGCCAAAGGCAGATGCTTAACCATCTGAGCCACCCAGGCGCCCCTGGACCCTGTTTTTTTTGACACGATCCACAGTTAAAGTGGTCTCTAAACAGAGTATATATTGAATAAGGTCTGTTTGGATTAGGGGCTAAATAAACTGAAGGATCGTAAGACACTAGGCCTGGTTTCACTCAATTTGTTCATGTTACAGATGGGAAAACTGAAGTGCAGAGAGATGCGGACCAGAGAACGGGGCCGAGGTCGTGGTGCAGGTGTTTTCCTGCCCTGCCCTACCCTTCCCACCGCGGCAGAGCTGCAAGCCGCAGCGAGCAATCCGACTCCCACGCCCAGACTGGAGGTCTTGGCGTGGCACTGAAATGCAGCCACAAAAGTACCTGTTACTTTACAAGAAGTACAGGATTGATGGGAAGATTTCAGTTTGGATGTAGTATGTTTTAAATTTTATTATAATAATTTACGTACATTAACATTCACAAATTCACACGCACTATTTGATGAGTTTTGACAAATGTATATATACGGTCGTGTAACCTACACCACAGACATAACAGAACATTTTTATCCACCCCAAGAAGTTGACGTATACCCCTTGCAACACCTCTCCTTCCCTGTCTCCCGACCCTGGAAACCACTAATCTGTCTTGTCACTACCGATTTACTTGCCTTTGTGAGAATTTCATATACATGAAATATACAGTTCTTGCTCTTCTAGGTCTGATTTCTCTCATTTAGCACAATGCTTTCGAGATGCATAAGGGTTTTTTTTTTCCCTTTGTATTGCTGAATAGTATTCTCCATTGTATGGCTATACTAAAATTTGTTTTTCCATTTACCAGTTGATAATTCAGGTTTTTTTCAGTTTTTAGCTATTCTGAATAATGCTGCCATGAATATTCTAGTACAGGTCTTTGAGTGGATATATAATTTATTTCTCTTGAGTAAATACTTAGGAATGGGATTCCTGGGAATTAGTGCGATGTTTTTATTATGGTAAAAAAAACATAACCTAAAATTTACCATTTTGACCATTTTTAAGTGTACATATCAGTAGTGTCATCTGTTCACATTACTGTGAAATAGATATCCAGAATTTTTTTCATCTTGCAAAATGGAAACTCTATGCTCATTAAATAATAACTCTCCATTTCCTCCCCTCCACCCTGCCCCCAGTCTCTGGCAACCACCATGAATTCATCAACTCTAGGTACTTTATGTAAGTGGAATTATATAGTATTTGTCTTTTTTTGTGACTGGCTTGTTTCATTGAGCACAGTGTCCTCAAGATTCATCCATGTTGTAACATGTAAGGGGATTTTCTTCTTTTTTAGGCTGAGTAATAGTCCATTGTATGCTTATCTATCCATTTGTCCACGAATACTTGGGTTGCTTCACCTTGGCTATTGTGAATAATGTTGCTACGAATAAGGGTGTGCAAATATCTCTTTAATTTTGCTTTTAACTTCTTTGGATATATACCCAGAAGTGGGGTTGCTGGACCATATAGCGGTTCTATTTTTAATTTTTTAAAAGATTTTTTAAAATTTATTTGACAGAGAGAGACACAAACAGGGGGAGTGGGAGAGGGAGAAGCAGGCTTCCCACTGAGCAGGGAGCCCGATGTGGGACTCGATCCCAGGACCCTGGGATCATGACCTGAGCCGGAGGCAGACGTCCAATGACTGAGCCACCCAGGCACCCCTATTTTTAATTTTTTGAGCAACCTCTGTGCTGTCTTCCATAGCAGCTGTGCCATCTTATAATCCCCATCAATAGTTCAAGTCAGTGCATTTTTTTGCAGTATTAAAAAAATGACAACACAGATTGAGAGCTAAAAGAGTAAAAATTCGTCCCAGTAATTTAAATGTTTTAGGCAGACCAGATTTAGGTAGAATAAAGACTGTGTAAAATAACTCAATACGTTAAATAAGCAATTTTTTTTAAGATTTTTTTTTTATTTATTTGCGAGAGAGAGAATGAGAGACAGAAAGCATGAGAGGGAGTGAGAGGGAGGAGGGTCAGAGGGAGAAGCAGACTCCCTGCCGAGCAGGGAGCCCAATGTGGGACTCGATCCTGGGACTCCAGGATCATGACCTGAGCCGAAGGCAGTTGCTTAACCAACTGAGCCACCCAGGCGCCCAATAAGCAATATTTGAAAAGCCTAAATATTTCCCACCACACTTCTCCTTAATGAGAAGCAGTGGGGATATGACAGTGAACTTCTGAACTGACACTCTAGTCTTGCAAGGGTCTCTCTTGCTTGCAGCTGTGGTATATGCATATAACATGTGGGCTAACACCAATGTCTGCTGTGTTCTTGCTAATGGGAATCAGCATAAATACAAGTTGATATCTACGGGTGTGTGTTGCATGTATATGTACAGCTTGTTAAAAAATGAAAATGCTTTCCAAATTGACTTCCTAGGTTTTGCTCAAAGGGGCACTAACTCACAAAATGTTTCAGGATGATTTTTCAATAGAACAAATTTTAGAATTACCAGGTAGTGACAAGTGGACTGTTTTGTTATTCTGGAAACCTAAAGAAAAGGTTAGAGTTGGAGGGATTGATGAGAATAAAACTTGTTCACAAAAGCAGAGGGCAAGAACTGCTAGACCTGGATAGCTACAGGGGGAATGAGCATTTGCTGGGACAGCTAGCCAAGTTTCAGGGCCAGACTGTGCCTTAAACTTTATTCCTTCATGACGTTCCCTCCCGCTTCAGTCCTGTGAAATCTATGCACCGAAAAGCTCTCTGAGCCAAATCAGGAAGGAGAGGTTGGCCCTTAACATGTCAGAGACAGAGACATCAGCAAAGGCTAGAGAGAGGCATTCCCAGCAAAACAGAGAGATGAGTGGCTCCAATAAAGAAAGCTCACAGGACACGATGACACCCTGTTGGGGAGACTTCTTATGCTTCAGGATATACACAAAAAATGGGAAAAAGGTCAATAACTCTTACAATAATCTGATGAGATAACAAACAACCTTTGGGATGCTTTTTTAAGAGTGCAAAGTTTAAAAGGGGTTATACATGAGAATACACTTTTTTCCCCCCTAGTGATCTGGCTTGCCGAATGTTGATATGACAGCCGATGTGAGAAAACAACCTTATCAGAATCTGCACATTTAGCATCTCAGGATAAATACCAAAAGCAGATACACACTGGACTTGTATAGTGAGTATCTAAAGCTATCTTTATTAAATGGCAACTATCTTTATTAAATCTCTTTCGCAATATATTTTGTCTAGTGAATGGTCAGATAATGATTTATCATAGTTCATAAAACAGAAGTGACTGGGATTTTCCCCTTTTCTGTTCTATTTTTTCAGCTGACTGATCCACTTGGTGAAATAGACATTCATTTAATTAGGTAGTTTTCTGGATTCAGTGAAAGATTGAAATACAATTCTTATTGAAAATCATTTGGCTGTGGAACTCTACTAAAACAAAAAGTGAAACAAAAATTTTAGCATTTTTTTAAGCAAGTTTTAAAAAAAAGATTTATTTATTTATTCTTAGAGAGACAGAGAGGGAGAGAGAGAGCGTGTGTGCATGCGGGGGCAGGAGCAGAGGGAGACAGAGAACCTCAAGCAGACTCCCTGCTGAGCGTGGATTCCCGACCCTGGGGCTCGGTCCGAGGACCCTGAGATCATGACCTGAGCCAAAATCAAGAGTCTGCCGCTTAACTGACTCAGCTGCCCAGGCTCCCCTAGCAAAAATTTTTAAAACACCTAGTGCTGATAGAAAAGAGTCTAATTTGCATATCATTTAATAAAAAAAATTCAGTTTATCTAAATGGCCCATTCTTCCTAGGATTCTGGAACTTTTAGTTTGGAAAACCAATGATGTAATAGTCAAGAACAGAGAATACTGGTATTTATTTTAGTTTAAATAAAAAGCACTGTTTTATTGGTAGCAAGTTAAGAATTCCCAGGATTTAAGAGAGAAAATTCTGTTCTGAAAACATTAAACATAACCTGAGGTATAAGAACAGGTCCTTGGCAACGGTTTGTGCATATCTCCTGTGTACTAGTGAAGCATGTCCAAGGAATATGAATGGTGTTCCAGGTTGTTTTCAAAAAGATGCTTTAGCAACTGAGCCTCAAGTCTTATAGGGCCACTAGCCAGTGGTTGTGTTATAGCATTTTTACAAGGAACATTAGAGAAGGCTCTCATATAATATGTCCCTTGTTGTTTGTGGAGGTAGATTATGAGGCAGGATGGACTGTCTTAGTGAGTATCGCTTAGTTTTCCAAAATTAAGGTTAGACCCAAGGATTCATTTAATACTAACCTAAGAACCACCCTCTCCGCTCCACCACCAGCATGAAGGTTTGCTGGTAACGTCTAACAACTGGCTCTCCTACCTCAAAAACTAATGAGGTACTATACAGTGGCTAACTGAATATAAAAACCAAAAAACAACTGGCTCTCCAAATAAACAAAACACCCAAAAGCCCTGATCTGTAGTCTTTGCTGATTATTGTCATGTAAATATTCCCACCAGCCAGTTTCACTATGAATGTGAAGTCAGAACCTAGATTTGGGATGACAACGTACACAACTGACTCTTACCCGCAGTTTCTAGCCGGATCCAGCATGCCACTGCATCCATAATGATGACGGCATAGATTTTCCCGGGTCCAAGCCCATCTCAGACATCAC